CCACTCACACATCAAACATACATATTATGTATATACTTTCATTTATCTGGCTTACCTGCTTAATATATCTGTAGAGATAAAATCATTATTGAACAGATTTTCGACTGTATTTATCAAGGATAATGAGATTAAGAAGAGACATACATATAAGTAATCTCAAGTAAAGATGAAGATGATGTCAAAAAAAAAAGAATGATCTCTTCAAAAATTGATCATCGCCATGTTTATCTCATATGAACCTCTAATAAAGAACACTATGAAATTATGTTCTGTTTATGGGAATTAGACTTTAATCAACTTAACTGTTCTATTTATGTTTAATTAATTAATTTAAAATTTAATAGAAAATAATTCTATTGATTTCTAGCGACATCTAAAAACTTTCAAAAGTATTTGAAATAAATAAAATAAAATGAAAATTTCATATTTCATTATTTCCTAACAAAATAATCTAGAAAATAATCATTTTTATATTTAATAAATAACCAATCATTAATCAGTATCGATCATATATCTATATTGTTGCTCAGATGATGATGATGTATGTGATGATGTAGAAAACGAAGAAGAAGAAGAAAGAAGAAGAAAAAAAAAGAACTATATTGATATTTTTAGATTTCTAGTTCATTTTTATCATGATTATTAATTAATTAAAACGAAAATAACATGACTATATTTTCATCTAAAAAACCTTCGAATTCAAATAAAGATTTATCATCAAATTCAACAAATCAACAACAACAACAACAATCATCCTCATCGAATATATCTCGTACACGTTTATCACGTGATGATGAAAATACAAATAATATCATACAAACAAATTCGAGTGAAGAATCAAATTTAGTTTGTGAAAATAATCTTCCATCAACATCATTAACAACAAATACAATTTTAACAACAATAACAACTGCACCTGTATCAAAACGTAAATCTCATTATCATCATCAAACAACAGTTAAACAAGCTAGACGACGTGGTGGTTCAGTTGGAGAAAAATTAATCTCAAATTCATCTGTAACAAATGTTACTTGTAATAGTAGTCCATCAACTAGTTTAACAAATGAGAATAATATATCGTCAAATACAAATTCAAATGAACATTTAACACAACCATCAACATCAACATCATCACTTACAACAGTTAATAATGATGAACAATGTAACAGTGAAGATGAATATGAACAAACAGCACCGAAATATGATAGAAATAATCTCACTGATGTTTGTTATTTTTATTAAATTAATATTTTCATCTTTTTTTTATTTTTCATAGCTTGAAATGCGTTTTGCTAGAGCGTTAAAAGAAAAAAAAGGTTTTGTTATTAAACCGGTTCAAGAAGATGGAGCATGTTTGTTTCGAGCAGTGTGTAAGTACACCGAATCTATATATTTTTTTAATGAAATATATTTTTTATTTATTTAGCTGATCAAGTATTTGGTGATGAAGAAATGCATGCAACAGTTCGACAAAATTGTATGGATTATATTGTAAGTTAATTTTATATAAATTTATGATCTTTTTTTAATATTTTTGTTTTAAAGGTAAAAAATGCTGATTTTTTTGGTCCATATATAACAGAAGATTTCGATCATTATATAACACGAAAACGACTACAACATTGCCATGGAAATCATATTGAAATGATTGCACTTTCAGAAATATATAATAGACCGATTGAAGTTTATGAATATAGTATTGGTATGAAGAAGAATATTATTTTTGAAATAATTATTTTTTTTTGTCTATCATTTTAGAACCAATTAATATTGTACATGGAATGTATAAAACAGATAATGAACCTATTCGTTTAAGTTATCATTGTAGTGTTCATTATAATTCAATTATTGATCCTTGGAGACCAACTGCTGGTCATGGACTTGGATTTCCTGATCTAGAACCAGGAGTATATAATCAAAAGATAAAATATTAAAATAAATTTAATATAATTTTTTTTAGCGTGCACAAGAAACACTTATTAGATCTGCAGTACGTCAATCCGAAGAAAGTCATATAGAACGTGCTATGCTTGATGATAAGATAGCTGCTACTGATTGGGAAGCAACACAAGATGAATTAATACAACAAGTAGCAAGAGAATCCTATTTACAATGGTTGTGTGATACGAAACAACAACATAAAGATAATAAAACGGTTCGTTATTGAATAAATATTGATTATATGGTTGTCCTAGATTTTCAGTAAGGTCATAGTATTATTAAGGCTGGTAGAAGCTGTTTATAGGACGTCCTTCAATCATATATAGAGCATTCAAAGGAGTGCATATTTTACTATGAATACAACATAAAATATTGTATTTTAATTTAAACAGACATCGTTCTTTTTGCACTAACTAAGGTCATACATTTATTCATGAGAGCATTTTGTTGTTTTTTAGATGCCATCTTCAAGTTCATCACCAACATCTACGACAACATCTGAGAGAGCTTTACACAATAATCACGGTAGGATAAAATATTTTAAAGATAAAATAAAATTTTTCTTTTTATAGCAAGCTCACCGAAAAATCTATTACCATTAAGACTTGATGAACGAAAAGATTGTGAATTTGCCTTACCATTTAATTATGAATGTGATGCTTCATCAAATCCCGGTATATTTTAAAACTAAACTCATATATATATATTTATAATTTTTTGTAGATCTTGATGATGATGATTCATATTTACGACAAGTTCTTGCCATATCACAAATTGAATATGTTGAAACATTAAAAAAACAACAACAACCTCCGAAATCCGACGATCCAGATGGACCATCATCATCATCAGACACACATCTTTTGTAGAAAGTTTTTTTTTTTTTGTTAATTTATATTCTTTTCTTTCTATCCTACTGATATTTTCCTTACAAAAAAGAACTACAGAACATAGCATCCGAACAGGCAATGTGTGTTATACACGTTTAAAAGCAAAACTTTTGTTCCTCTTACGTTTACGTCAATTATATCTGTGTGTGTGTGTGCGCGTGTGTATATGTTTGGAATTAAACGAGAGTCATATTTCGGATATATCTCTCGATTTTATTTCAGATAATAATGTTCAATCAAGAAATAAAAAATTCTAAACGAAAATTTAAATCAGATAATGATGACGAATGGTCTAAACTAACACGTGAACAACTTATTGAACGTTGTAAACAACTTGATAAACATGTTCAACAATTAAGAAATACAATTCATAAAACAACTGAAAAAGAAGCTCATGAGAAAAATAATAAAAAAGCGAGACCATTTGATTTTACTAAACATTCAAAGAGACATATTTTTCTTAAATTTATTTATCTTGGTTGGGATTATCATGTAAGAAATTGAGAAAATATGATAGAAGTATTTTTTTATTATCGTATGTAGGGATTTGTTGTACAAGAAACAACATCTCAAACCGTAGAAGATTTTCTATTTGAAGCACTCATTAAAACACGATTGATTGAACAACGAGCAACATCGAATTATCATCGATGTGGACGAACAGATAGAGGTAAGTAAAAACAAATAATTTCTCATGAGTAAAGTATCTATTTCCAGGTGTTAGTGCATTCACCCAAGTGATCTCATTAACTGTTCGATCGAAAATTACTTCAGAATGGTATAATAAGATTATTTTTGTTTAATTATAAAATAGTCATTTTATTCTAGTACTGAAGAACTCAATTATGTACAAATGTTAAATGGTGTTTTACCAAGTTCAATACGGTGCATAGCATGGGCATCAGTACTAGAAGAAAAATCAGCTCGATTTGATTGTAAATCACGATCATATCGATATTATTTTCCAAAGGCAAATCTTGATCTTAATCGAATGCGACAAGCATCTGCGGATCTTATTGGTACACATGATTTTCGAAGTTTCTGTAAAATAGATATTACGAATGAAGAACCAACATTTATTCGACGTATTGATAATATAACTGTTGAACAATTAAATTATGATAATGATTTGAATAGTAATAATCCTGGGTAAAAATTTTTCTCTTTTTTAAATCAAATACGACGAATTATTTTTATAATATAGTTATCATATGTGTGAATTAATGGTGCATGGCTCGGGATTTTTATGGCACCAAATTCGTTGTGTTGTTGCTATTCTATTATCGATTGGTCAAGGAAAGGAAGAGATAAGTTTAATTAAAGCATTACTTGATATTGAAAAATATCCATGTACACCAAATTATCAAATAGCATCAGGTAGAATTTTTCGTCATATTTTTGTCGAAAGGAAATTTATTTATTTTTTAGAATTACCTCTTGTTTTATTTGATTGTCAATTTAATGATGTGAATTGGATCTGTGATCAAAATGCTCTTCGTATAACTATCTGTCATTTACAACGACATTGGTCATCATTTCAAATTCGTGCTACTATGATTAAATCAATGTTAAATAATTTAGAAAGTCAAATACTTGATCAACAACAATTACCAATTTTAGGTCAACTGTCATTGATCGAGAATGATACGAATTCATTAATAGGAAATAATAATAATAGTCGAAGAAATTATCAACCTATATTAACACGACCGGTACGGGAAAGTGTCGAAGTTAAACTTGAAAAATTTCAAAATAAAAAAGCGAAATTAGGAATAATATCCGAAGATCCTAAAGATGGTGATACAAAAACTTCCAGTACTACTTTACTTATTTAAATTTTTTTAAATATATTTGTTAAAGAATTTGTTATTATTTAATTGAAAAAGAAGAAGAAGAAAAAATGATATGCACAAACAAGGTCAGCATGGAAAAATTATGAATTACTACTAAAAGAGATAAGATTATCATGTCGACAATACAAAAGAACAAGGACCAGTCCTTGTAAATATTGAGTGTATGCATGCAAAATCCTTTCTTAGTAATATTTATGTCAAGCATTGTTGAAACTAATATACAATATTCTGTAGACATTTCACAAGGTTAAAAGCGTCAATATCATTTTCATAAGTAACATGATGGATGACACTTATATAATGGAACTATTAAATTTTAAACTTGACTATGACTGCCACTAGCGATATCTCCATTTTCTTCGAATAATTGTTCAGAACTCTAAAAACAAAAAGAATTACCATTATACAAAAAAAACTCACACCCAATATCTTACTTGATATTGCTCTTGTGTAGGAGATTTACATAGAAGTTGTGCTGAAGCTCCTTCATTTAAATCAACACCAGCAATACTGTAAAATAAAATTAATAAACTATCGAATTGAACTTTATTGACTAACCTTAATCTCATGTTTCGTTTCATAACATCAAAAACATTATGCTAAAATAAAAAAAAAGATTTTCTATTAAACAAAACTTTTATTTAAATACTCGTGTTTGTTTTGCTTCTTGATTTGCTTTAATTAAAAATTCTACTACAGCAAGTACAATAGCCAAAGTTAAACCAACAATTAATATATAGAATATACCAGCAACATTAACTAAATTAAGTGCATTACTCTGTTTAGAATCCTTAGTTGTACCACTATGACATTCGGATCGTTCATACCACCATCTTCGTTTTAAATTATTTAATGCACCATCTTCACTCATTTCAAGTATAGCTATATTAATTGCTTCTCTAAATAAAATAATAGAAAAAATATTTAATCATTATTTTTCATTACCGTAATTCTGAACCAACTGGTGTTGCAACTCCATAACCTTTGGAATCTAAATTTGAACCAATTTTCATTGTATCACACGGAGAACGTTCATTTGTATATTCATTTTTAGTTGACTATTTTTCGTATTTAAATAGATATTTTTTATTTATTTTTTCAAACTTACTTCAAGTAAAAATGCATATTTTCCTTTCGATTTTCTATATTTTAACAATTAAGATACTTATTGAACAGAGCAGAAAACTTACCGAACTTTATTGATACCTTCTTCATTATTAGGAACAAAAACATCATCACCTTGTTGCATATATGTCCACATACGTTGAAAAAGTTTTACATCCGATTTCTAAAAGAAAAATAAAATCAAGAAATCAAATTTAATAAATAATTACTTCAAAAAATGTTTGTGTTGATCCACCACGAACAATACCATATCTTATTTCTGTTTGTCTAGCAAGATCTTCTACACTTTCAATTGGTGTAACCATACGTTCCACAGTTAAAAAAGCAGCTACAAAAAAAAATTGTCATATAGGTATCTCTATCTCCATATATAATTACCCAAATTAGCAGTATATGATGATACAAGAATCATTGAAAAATACCACCATACACCTGCAACTAATCGACCTGATATTGATCTAGAAGAGAAAATAATTTTCGAAATAAAATTTTTTTTGTATTACCTTGGTATAAAATCTACACCTTGTTGCATAAAAGCTGCTAAGGCAAAGAAGAGTGTATTTAAAATTGAAAATTTATTTGATAATTGAAATGTTTCTTCATCTTCCATACTCCATTCATAGGGTGAAAAACGTGAAACAAGAAATAGTATGACACTAACACCAATATATGCAAATGTAACACACATCCAAATTTCTTTTGATAATGGTGCCATAAATGAAAATACACCTGGCTTAGTTTTTTCTGGTTTACTAATTAAAATACTGATTCCAAGATTCATCCATGGTTTACTAAAATCAACAACACTTTCTCGTTGACTTGTTATTGTTAATGGTGCAATAGCAAGATCAACTTCATGTCGTACTAATTCTCCAATCATTCCAGTCCATGGTTGATCATTTGGTGGTTTATTACCAAATGAATTATCTTTTACAATACGAAATTTACATGGAATTTCAAGTTTTTCTTCACATATTAACCGAGCTAAATCAACACAATAACCATATAATTGATCAAAGGTATAATATTGACCAGCTGCATCTGCTGCACTAACATTTCCAATAACACTTAAATTTAACATTGTAAATGGTTCGTCCTAGAACGAAAGAAACAAATGAAAAAAGTCTTCTCTTCATTAATAAACATACAAGAATTGTTGAAATTATACGTTCTTTTGCTTTATCAAAATCATGTGCTTGACGGCCTTCAAATATTCTAAGATCATCAAAATGAAAATCATCATGTGTAAAATTGCCCATCTAAAATCATAATGAAAATATATTTTTTTCTCTAATAATTAATTACATTTCTTGGTAATTTATTCATTGTAACTTGATAAACATTTAAAGTATAATTAATACGTTCACCATATTCATTAAATGCTACATGGCCGGAATATCCATCAAATGAAAGCTATAAAAGAACAAAAATCTCAATTTATTTATTTTATCTTATTTAAAATTTACGGATTGCATTATAGAAAATAACTTTTCACCAAATGGTTCATGTGATCGTTGTCTTCCTTTCGCTCGACATTCGATTTTTAAATGATCAAAATTATCATCCGTCGAATCAGAATCAACAATTTTAGCACGAGTTCGTTCATCTAAAAACATTATTGCTTGCATGTATAAATATAAAGCATCTGCTAATGTTTTCTTTTCGAACTATTTAAAAATAAAAAATGAAATATTAGATTGAAAAAATAAAATAAGAATTTTACCGATGGTAAACTCAATCGATCAGTTATCGATGAATTCACTGATGAATTCATTTTAAAAGCTGATTTTGGTAAAAAATACGTTACATTAACACCACCATATCGAAAAGCACGCATATCGATTCGATCAGCTTCCTAAAAGATATAATTCGAAATATTCATTTTTTATTTTAATTATACTTACAAGTGTCATTAGAATATAATGATAATGTGGTGTTGTCATTCCTTGATGTCGAATCTAGGACAAACATTACTGATTAAGATTCCATCAACAAAGACAATATTTTCTCTTATGGTAATCGTATAGAATACATATTTATCTTACTTGCATCAATAATTTAATATAACTTTGAATATCAATCAAATCAAGTACAATATAACGTTCTTCTTTTGTACCACGATCATTTATTTCTACACTTTGTAATAAATTTTTTGTATGATTAGAATTTGTATTATCAATTAATTGACGACCTTGAATATCTAAAATATCATAACTTTTTTCTCGTGCTTGTGCAACCATCATTGCTTGATAACGTTCAAATGCTTCATCACCTTCGATAATATAAAATAATTTTGTTACTTTATAACGTCTTATAAATGCTGCTAACGCAGGTAGAAGATCAATTTTCATTGTTAAATGATAGAATTTATTTATTAAACTTGATTCTTGTTTATTATAATT